TCTGGTACACAGGTTGGTAGTTGGCATCTCAATGCATGAATTGTATGGTAACTTCTGGTACACAGGTTGGTAGCTGGCATCTCTATGCATGAATTGTGTGGCAACTTCTGGTCCACAGGTTGATAGTTGGCATCTCAGTGCATGAATTGTGTGGTAACTTCTGGTACACAAGTTGGTAGTTGGCCACTTAGTGCATGAATTTTATGGTAACTTCTGGTACACAGGTTGGTAGTTGGCATCTCAATGCATGAATTGTGTGGTAACTTCTGGTACACAAGTTGGGAGTTGGCCACTTAGTGCATGAATTGTATAGTAACTTCTGGTACACAGGTTGGTAGCTGGCATCTCAGTGCCATGATTTTGATTTGTCGAATAAACAATAAACAATCCACTGTGTGGTGACTCAGCCTGGATTTAAAGTATTTCAGTACCGTCTGTGAGAGATTGAATCTATTACAATTTACCAAATTTGCTGCTCTGTCGTGTGTTTATCCGGGAGTTGGCGTGTCACATATTTGTTCTGGTGAATTAGGTGTACAGTATTTTTACTGGGCGTTAATGTAGTATATTTTTACTGTATGTTATATGTTTGCATGAAGATTGCTAGGTTGTGTATTTCTTTAAAAGTTGTATATTTGTATCAAAGCTGACAAGTTGACATATTGTATATTTGTATGAAAGTTGATATGTGTTGTATGGCAGTTGATATTTTATCTGTGTATTTTCACGTTGATATATTTGTGTATTAAAGGGGATAAGGTATAGGTTTGAAGGAAGGGTTGTATATCCGTGACAAAGTTGATATTAAAATAACTGATGTAGTTATTTCAACTGCTCTCTGTAATTTTACTTTTTTCATCCCAGCCGACAGCGCGCCCTCGGCTGCCACAGGAAGAGCTCCATATACCAGACCAGGTGAGAACACAGACAGAGCAGACACAATAATGACTTATGTGGCTTCAAACAGCCCATTTGTCTCACCGGATAACATACATCCAATATCTCATCAGTACAACTGTTCTCGAACACTGATATCAAGGTTATTTTTCGAAAACTTCTCCACGGGTAGTAGACAGGGTGGTTAGCCTTCTCGGATTAGCGCGGTTAGATCAGTAAGAGCCGTGTGTGCTTAACTGCTGTCCAATTAAACAAGTCGGACACGCAGAGTCTGAGATAAATGTTAAAACTGAGCCAGGCAAGATGAACATGTAACGAAGTTAGGCCTAGCTACACACCTATGACTGACAAAGTAGGACCAGGCCACTGTGATTGGACGTTCATTTATGCGTCTTAACCTTTGAACTGCGTAAATTTGAGTGGCAGGGTTGTCAGGTCGGTGCGAGGTTGTGTTGTATTGTCTCGACGGTCTTACCGCTGACCACGTGTGCTCTATATTTCAGGATGTGAGCGGTTTTAACGACCCCATAACACGGTCAACTGACCTTAATCCCCAACCCCCTACCCCACACACTGAACCTAGGTTCCACGAGAGAGTGCATTTTAAACCCCTCTAGCGTAGACCAGCCTGACCAATCATCATTGACAGGTCAGCTAGTATCTAGCTGAGCCTGAGTTCGTTACCAGTTCCGGAGAAGTTGAGAGCACACATAGTTTAGATGTACTCACAATCAGAGCCGTTTGTGCGAAGTTCGTGTTCTGTGCTACGATTCTCATGTATGGCATACTAATTGTAGCTATCGCTTGTATATAGTAAAAGGGTTGTGGAACTGGTAACATTTAGACTGACAAGCTTGATTCTTGTTTGAAGTGTTTTGTGAAAGGTTGCCTAGCTCGCATCTGCGTGTTATCACGGGCAATGTAAATGTTTACAGAATATTTATCTTTATTTGTCTGCTAATGTTGTTCTGTAACTTTAAATTATGTGCAACCTCTGTTCTGCTATGACAAATTGAGCTTGTGTCTTATGTAGAGAGGCTTTCACTATTTTTAATTAGGGTACCAATAGGGTACAATAGTTCAGATCAACAAGGAGAAACATGGAGATGTTTTACAAGATCTGAAAACCTAGGAGTATATTCTAAAAATTAACGTGTCTGGCTTCTGTCATGGAAACAGTACACTATACTGCAGGCTGGGTACTATCTTAGAATGGAATATAGAACATATCCATCATAAGGAACTGGACACTGTGAAGAAAACAGAAAAAAAATCTGTCACCGCCTCTAATGCAGTGGATTCCAGGTCATGTGGCTTGGAAGGTAATGAAATAGCGGACAGGTTGGCTAGAAGCGACAATGACATTGTACAGCCAAGAAGTGACTTAACCCACCAGAAGACTAAGACATTAATACAATCTAGTATCCAAGAATGGTGGCTGGATACACACACCAAATTCTCTCCTTAAGACTCACTTTATCGCCTTTCTAGAGATGCACAGTGTATTATATTCAAACTAAGGACAGGGCACAACAGACTCCGTCAACATATGTTCAAACTTTTCGGTGTAGGAAACACGGAGACGTGTTCCTGCAGCGTGGCACCTGAAAATGATGAGCATGTGCTCCAACACTGTCAACTGTATGCTGACAACGAGAGGTAACCAGGCCTATTCCAACCACAATAAAGACAAAAAGAAGAAGAAGAAGACATACACAACAAATGGTAGGATGGCCCAGCTGAGAAGACAGTCAACAGTGTCTGCAGCGTTAGCCGGATCAGCCGAGGAGAAGAACTACTAAATATAACAGTCATCAAAGAAGAGCTGCACACAGTAATAATTATCTTGGGACGGGGATGCAGGGAATGGGCCGCGTGACATGAAGACGCTGAGGTAAAAGGTTAAACAGCTGAGAGAGGACAACTCAAGGCCAAGAGATGTCATTATATAGCCTGATGGGTCAGTGGCCAGCGGTAGAAAAAATGGCAAAACGAGTAGTTAACCCAGGACGAGTAGTTAACCAGATAGCAACAGGTACTATCAGTATGGAAACTCTGCTGGCTGTTGAGGAGGAAGTCGGAGCTAATGTAGGTTTGTCCTGAGTACTGTGGTGTCAAATCTTCATCCAGATGAACCCAATACACTCGTTAACACAGAACATGACTCGGGGTATGTAACTCATGATCAGTCGCAATGATCCCAACCGTAATATGCAGACCGAATGTTTGAGACACCTCGGGTATGATGATACCTGAGGCAGGGCAGTTGAGACACAGGTGTCTTGGTACGTCTGCGCTTTTGTACACAACTTGCTTCATGATGATGACCATAATGATGGCAATGATGGTGATTATGGTGTTGATAATAATGTTGATGGTGAGATAATGATGAGTCCATGATAAAGATGATAACTACCAGGGCAATGATGATGACGATGAAAGATATAACGCTATGGGAATAGTATGATCGCTTATGTAGAGACACAACAAGTCCGTTTTACTGTATGTAGGCACATACACGAGCCAGCCAGCTAACACCCGTCACCCTAGGTAGTTCACCACCCATGTACATCAGCCAGTCTCATCGCCATACCGCACGAGTTCTCACACACAGTCGTCACACATAAACATTAGACAGTCTCATCTCCACACCACACGAGTTCTCACACACTATGTATCTTCTTCCGAAGAAAATCTAGAAAGGCACCGAACCAATAGCCTCCGTTAAACGAGGCTCAATTGCTGGAACAGGATTTGGTAGAGAACTGGCGGGCAACCAGAACTGTCCATTGGAGTTTACAGCCAGTGAACGCCAGGCAGAAAAACGAAGTAGAAGAAGTGCATCTTCTGACTGCTCAACTTCCATTGCTTGATCTATTCCGTTGGTGGAATCTTCTCCTCTTTCCAGACGATCATGTTATGTTGTCATGTGGGGAAGCATGGGACTCACATCCCGTGGCGATGGCGAGTGTGACTAGCAAGATCCACTCGCATTAAGATAGTCTTTCACAGTTATAGCCTTGGCTTTGAGGACCGTGACTGCCATTGCATGTTTGATTTATTTCAAACGCCCGGCTCGCTAGCGTAGTTTGTTAAACCTGACTTCGTGGTGACCGGGTGACGAACTCCTTGTTGTCCGGGTTCACTCCCGGGGGTAGGCATAAAAGCCACATTTCTCCCAGATTTACGGTATCTATCATGGAATCAAGGCCGAAGGGTTGCGATATCCATAGTACCGAGCCAAAGGTTTAACAACTCATTGTTTCTGGATATTTAAAAGAAATTTTTTTTTTATTTCACACACTTAGTAAATATTGACTGCTTGGTCTCTCTGGTATGGTACTGGAGCCGTGGACCGTGCGAGTCGAAAATATCTGACTGATAATCCCTTGTTATCTAGTTAGTCTATCAGTGTGTTTGTCTGTCTGTCAGACGGGCACGTGCTCCCGGAGGTCAGCCAACAAACCGACCTTGACCCCAATTGTGTTGTGGGGCAACATCCGGACCCTGTGTGACCCGGACACGGACTGTGGTGGCTGGGTCATCATACAGGTGAGTTGTCTGTCTGTGGGTCGGTCTGTCTGTGTGTCTGTGGGACACGGACATTAACTGTGGTGGCTGGGTCATCATACAGGTGAGTTGTCTGTCTGTGGGTTGGTCTGTCTGTGTGTTGGTCTGTCTGTGGGTTGGTCTGCCTGTGTGACACAGTATCGGACTGTGGCGGCTGGGTCATCATACAGGTGAGTTGTCTGTCTGTGGGTTGGTCTGTCTGTGGGTTGGTCTGCCTGTGTGACACAGTATCGGACTGTGGCGGCTGGGTCATCATACAGGTAGTTTATATGTCTGTGTGTCTATCCATGCATTTATGTCTGCCTGTCTGCCTGAGTGACGCCGATACGCATTGGAGAGTGGATGGGTCATCATACAGGTGATTTGTTTGTCTGTCTGTTTGTTTGTCTGTCTGTTTGTCTGTCTGCCTGTCTGTACATGTATGTATGTCTGCCTTTGTGACACGGACTGCTGGGTCATCGTTGAGTCATTTGTCTGTCTGTGTCTGGTTCTGTGTACTGTGCCTATAGCTGAGTGCTTGAATGTCTATATAAATGTGTGTGTCCTCATTTAAGTGTACACATGACAATGCTTTTTTTCCCGTCACACCCCAGAGACGTTTTAAAGGCGACGTGAACTTCTACAGGGGGTGGACAGACTACAAGAACGGGTTTGGAACTCCCGACACCGACTTCTGGCTTGGGCTGGACTCTATCCACAACCTCACATCACAGGTTAGTGGTGTATTGCACCCCTTTGGCAGGCAAGTGGTCGAGTCAGCCATGCTGCATCTAGTCCAACAATTCTGTTGTTTCACGAGGTTCTCTCATTCGTGGTGGGTTTGTCTGTAGGTTCTATTACTGAAGGTTTCACTCCGCTTTTTGCCAGTATTACTTTAGCATTGACATACCACCTCTCTGCGTCTCTCTCTTTCTTCCTCTTTCTTTCTCTCTCTCTCTTTCTCTCTCTCTTTCTCTCTCTCTCTGTTTTATCTATCTATCTATCTATCTATCTATCTATCTATCTATCTATCTATCTATCTATCTATCTATCTATCTATCTATCTATCTATCTATCTATCTATCTATCTATCTATCTATCTATCTATCTATCTATCTATCTATCTATCTATCTATCTATCTATCTATCTATCTATCTATCTATCTATCTATCTATCTATCTATCTATCTATCTATCTATCTATCTATCTATCTATCTATCTATCTATCTATCTCTCTATCTCTCTATCTCTCTATCTCTCTATCTCTCTATCTCTCTATCTCTCTATCTCTCTATCTATCTATCTATCTATCTATCTATCTATCTATCTATCTATCTATCTATCTATCTATCTATCTATCTATCTATCTATCTATCTATCTATCTATATGTTTTTCTGTCTGTCTGTGTGTCTGTGTGTCTGTCTGTCTGTCTGTCTGTCTGTCTGTCTGTCTGTCTGTCTGTCTGTCTGTCTGTCTGTCTGTCTGTCTGTCTGTCTTTCTGCCAAAGGCATATCATCTCATAAGATACCTCCAGACTTATGTTTCATTTATTTGATTTCCTTCTCTCCATGAATTTCAGTTAAAATAATTTGTTGCCTGTACTCCAGGGATACACTGACCTGCGCATCGACCTGAGGCTCCATAACACTCGCTACTTCGCCCAATACTCCAACTTCAGCGTGGGTCCAGCCTCGTCCAGCTACCAGCTGTCCCTGGGTCAGTACTATGGCACAGCCGGGGATAGCCTGAAGATCCACAATGGATCTCTCTTCTCCACGTTTGATGTGGACAATGACAAGCACGCTGCCAACTGCGCTCAACTTTACCACGGGGCTTGGTGGTTCGTCAACTGTTACCACTCCAACCTGAACGGTTTGTGGGGATCCAACAGTCACAGCGGTGTTGTCTGGAGGGATCTTGGCTCCGCACAATCTCTGACTTTCACGGAAATGAAGCTGAGGCGACCATGACATCAAGATTGTTAGTGGAGATGGGGTAGTGAAACTGATAACTAGTTCGACTGAAACAATTTGTGACATTAAATCACATATATGTTGTTGTTGTTACTATCATTGTCATGTCTTTTTTTTTTTATGCTGCTTTGTCGGCCTTTTGTTGCTTATTTTTTTTTTCCGGAATGTTTTTAACGAGGCTGGAAAATATTCACACCTTTTCCCAGAATGCACTGCCCTGACTTGGGTGTTGTACATCAGCCGGACGACAAGCGCGTGCAGGAATATTCTGACCACTCATTTCAGTCTGTATAGCACTTGGACCCTAATGAAATTGGGGGAAGGGGGATCATACCAGCGACCCACACACTTGAACTTGGAGAGGGGCCCTGAAGATTAACAAGTGCAACTCTAGGAACCGGTTCCTGACCTGGTCACATTAATTATTAAGCCAGAACTTGGCAGTTTTCTCAAGGGCTTACTCAGCAGCTGTGAGGGAAGGGGTGAGTAGTTGAAAAATTGGTCAGTTCCACGATAATCTCCCCCTGTTACACACTAGCTCACTTCTGATTGGTCGTCCTTAAGTCACCTGACCTTCGCACACTACTACAAAGGGGAGGGGGTGGGTTGTTTGACAATGCTGTTGATAACGCGTGTTGTATATTTCAGCACGTCAGCGCTTAAGCTCTATAAAAACATTTAGAAACTGGGTCTAACACAAACCCCATAGAGAGTGCTGCAACATATGTTACAGGCATTCTCTTTCTCGAAAGAAAAACCTAGATGCAAGACAAGCCAGAAAGGAAACAACATAACGGCAACTCGTAACCCTCTGGACAGCAGACGAGTATAAAATATTTATGAATGGAACGCGACCTAGTTTTGGTGGGGAGATTATCGTGGAACTGACCGAAAAATTGAAAGCAAAAGTTGTGAACGAACGAACTTTATTTTAGCAGAGTTAGTGTTGGTCTCAACTCTTGAATACCAAACCGCCTTACAGTCTTGTGTTTTTTTTTTATTTTTATTTTATCTTTCTACTGTTATGTTATTAAAAGTGATGTAGCAATTTTTTTAAGAGCAGACATTGCTGGACCGATCCGATAACGTGTGTTTTATTTACTGACACATGTCTGTGTGATGTTTATACTTCATTACCTACCTTAATATGTCTGTGATATATATATATATATATATATATATATATATATATATATATATATATATATATATATATATATATATAAAAGTATGTGATACTTACAGAAGTCTCTCTGCTTAATGATGTCAAGTCTCTGCAGTCTATAATATCACATTTTCATTTGTGTTGTGGGCAGGGGTCGGTTGACTAACGGTTTCAGAAAAGGACAAATACAAGAAGATTCACATTTACTGTGTGCGAGTTCCTCCACCGGGTTTATGTGCTTAATAATGTGTAAAATGTTATAATAATAATATTAAAATGTTTGAAATAATATGTACACAGAAACTGTAACTTCTAAACGTTACTAAGAAGGGGTCAGTTCAGGCATGGCCAAACTTTAGTTACTAGGCCTAGCTACTGACGTCATCAGCGGGACGTGACGTCACCGCCGCTGGCTAACGTTATGTTACTTTTTCACTCAGACGGTACCTGTTTTTTTTTTGTTCCCGGCCGTCCCCTGAGTACTAGCCCACAAAAAGTATAGCAGTAAGCTCATGGCTATTCAACAGTCAGCCCGCGGACCAAATTTGGCCCGCTGAGGCCTAGCGAGTGGCCCGCCGATCACTGCTGGTTGCAATGAAATAATGCTTTTTCTAAGCTGGGACTCGGACTGCTGGCCCATAACGATCCCTAATTTTACAATGTTGGCTTCTGAGTTAACCTAAATTGACTTAGTTGAACAGCCCTGGATATAGGTATTGACAATAAGACATGGAAACAAAACACAACAGAAACTACTGACATATTCACAATATGACATAGAAACTAAAAGCACAACAGAAACTACTTACCATGTAGCTGTCCAAATTGAAGTTACATAATCCGTGAAATCCATTACTGGGTGAATTTGGCCAGTTTTCTTTTCTTAGATGATTTATCCAGTAAGGATGTGTCGGTTTTGATTTTGCGGTAGTTAGTTATTTAGGAAAACATTTGCCAGAGATGGCAGCGCTTTGGAAGCAATGTTTATTTTAGAACAACCCTCAGCACAGACACCACCTATTTCATCCTTGAAATATGTTTGTAAACTGCATGAAACAATATGCATAAGCAATTTTTTGTGATGTTTGCAGGCTAGAAATTGTGTTTCCAACTCAGCTGATATAAGCTTCTGCATAGCTGCATATGTGACAAATGTTATTAAACTTATAAATTTTAAAGGGTATTTCAAACCTCCACGGTCAAGCAGCTGTATATAGTCTGTTGACATTGCACCTGAGTCAACATCATTTGATAATGGCCTGTCCATCTGCAATAAAGTCTTGCAGGCAGCACACCTAATTTTTTTGTTCAGCTTACTTGAGACAAATCCAGCAATATACACCAGTGACTCCTCTGAACCTTCCGAAACCAACAATTCACAGTCATTTGGGTTTATTTGAAAAAAAAACCTTGTTCACGTCCAGCTGAACAGCATCAGTAATTATGGCATCCCCAGTTTCATCTTCTTTGCTGCTAAGAAATTCTGAGAGGTCACGGATAGGAAAATCTCCATAAGTCGATGAGGACATACTTAACAGTTAGTAAACTTTAAGTTTCTTTACTGCTTCTAAAACTTGCTGCACAGATACTAGGTAGTTTGCTCCTGACAACTGCCGATATTCACCAAACCGAGCTTCTAAGTTGTCAGTCTGTAACTTTCCAAGAAGTATAAAACTGGCTTCTGTTGTTGCAAATAGATATTTGATTAGAGAAAGCACTGCAGTCACTGTATGCAGCAGTGCACTTTGTGTTTCCTTGGTCAGTTTTCCTTGACAGCCAGGCAGCTTGTCCCACTTTCTTAGCCATTCAGCAAACTGTTCAAGATAATGCACTTGTTCATCATCATTTGACAATACAGGATTTGAGAATGAGTTCAGTGTCTTTTTACCTACAAATTTACTTTTTCACATTAACAATATGCCACCATCTAAGGATGGCTTCAATAAAATCTGCTGTTTCATTACTGCCTACTAGACGCAGAGCAGCAACATTGTATTCATTAAAAATTGCCAAAGCAAGAGGAACATTCTGTCTGTCCATGCTGGAGGGATAGATGGCTTTGTGGGAAAGTTTAGGTGCCAGTTTTGCAATATTCTTTTGCTCACTATAATACAGTTTCTTTAAATGAGAAAAGTTAGCTTCTGCAGCTCTATCAGTATCACAGTCGTTTAGCATTTGTCCAGTTATTAAAGGATAAGTAAATGTCTGGTTTGTGTCCTTCTGGTTGATCCAGTTCCTCCACATGCATTTTAGCAAGTGCACAGAATCATGCAGTAAAAATATTTTTTTATTAGCAAAATCTGGGTTCTCAATAAAAGTTTGGCTTGGTTTCAGGAGAACACTGTAAACTCTGCGATTGACAGCACTATTATCTGCAATTACAGCAACTACTGTGAAACCACACTCCTGTACAAAGTGGATACAGTGGAGTCATTTCAAACGTAGATCCTGAGATGTCATTTTGTTCACAGGTGAAAGCTCTATAATTTCCTGGTAGCTTCCAAAAACTGAAGATATGAGGAAAGCCTGCACTGTTGTTGCTGCTTCTTTTGCATTGTCTGCATTGCCAAATATTTTGCCCCCAGAGTAAGTAATTGCAGATTTAACATATATTTCATCCATCTGAACCACTACAATCTTTTCTAGCTCTGTCAGTTTGTCTTGTTTCAATTTCAAGTACTGTGAAATGCTGCCAGTATGAGTAGACAATGACAACTGTGAAGTTAAATTGTGCAGTGTTCTTTGATGAGGCAGGCACAACATACGAGATTTTCTTATAAACCGGTAGCATGCTGGAGATTTAATGAACAGCATGAAAGCGAAACATAATGTGCTACAACTGTAACGCCTTCTGTTTTTTAACACGGTTAAAAGTTGCAGCTGCTCTGCAAGAAAGTTTACTTGTGTGTCAGTTACTTCATCAGCTGTCCCATTAGGAGTCCACTGTTGCTCTGCAGCACTCTTCAAAATACTTCCTGCTTCTCCCACTAAATCTGTGAAGCTATTTTGGCTTTGAATTTTACTATAATCCCAGGCATTGTAATGAATTACAAGATTTTCAAGCTGTGACCATCTCACAAGTTTATTGTTGTCTACAATCCATTTAAGGTCTTTGTCCTTAACTTTTTTATTTTGAACAAAGACTTGTATAGTCATATCAAGTAACACCTTTATGCTGACACCTATGGATGGTGCAGAGTCTGACTGTATGGTAATGACATACAAAACAATACATGCTAAAGCTCCATCTACAGAAGTGTATTTCCAACTTTTTTCAAAGTGTCCTTTCAGTTTGTTTCCTATCTGTGACTCCAGATCTTGGAAATCTGTAATAATATCTGAGGACAGCCAATCATTGACTTTATGATCATAATTACGATTAATATGTGATACACGTTCCTCTGGAGTTTTGCGAGAGGCAGGTACTTTCACCGATAAATAGGATGGAAGATCTGGAAAAATAGTTGGATAAGCATCTTTTTTTAAAGCGGGATTCTTTCTTGGAAGTATATGCTCGATTCCTGATTTGTCTGTATATTTATCAGACACAATAATATCTGACGTACGAAAATGTTTTATACATACTACACTGGTTTTCCCAGGAGTCCAATTTTTCCGTGGAATATGTTTCAGCCATTTGTCTCTTAAAAAAGAATTCGAAGGGAATTTGAAGCAACTTACATATCCACTAGAAAGGTCATAATTTGAACGACACTCGGGTACAGAACATTTCGCAGGCATATTTCCTCGAAAACCAACACACTGACGATAAATCCAACGTAAATTGCAGAAATTGCTTACTAAATCTACTCCCTGAAATACCGCTTATAGG